ACTGATGGGATCATGACAGAAATGTTAAAAGCAGGGGGGGATATAGTGTTGGAGTGGTTGGTACTTTTGTTTAATAAATGTATGAAAAAGGGGAAGGTACCTAGGGATTGGCAGAGAGCATGTATAGTCCCTTTATATAAAGGGAAAGGGGACAAAAGAGATTGTAAAAATTATAGAGGAATAAGTTTACTGAGTATACCAGGAAAAGTGTACGGTAGGGTTATAATTGAAAGAATTAGAGGCAAGACAGAATGTAGGATTGCGGATGAGCAAGGAGGTTTCAGAGTTGGGTAGGGGATGTGTAGATCAAGTGTTTACAGTGAAGCATATATGTGAACAGTATTTAGATAAAGGTAGGGAAGTTTTTATTGCATTTATGGATTTAGAAAAGGCATATGATAGAGTGGATAGAGGAGCAATGTGGCAGATGTTGCAAGTATATGGAATAGGTGGTAAGTTATTAAATGCTGTAAAGAGTTTTTATGAGGATAGTGAGGCTCAGGTTAGGGTGTGTAGAAGAGAGGGAGACTACTTCCCGGTAAAAGTAGGTCTTAGACAGGGATGTGTAATGTCACCATGGTTGTTTAATATATTTATAGATGGGGTTGTAAAAGAAGTAAATGCTAGGGTGTTCGGGAGAGGGGTGGGATTAAATTATGGGGAATCAAATTCAAAATGGGAATTGACACAGTTACTTTTGCTGATGATACTGTGCTTATGGGAGATTCTAAAGAAAAATTGCAAAGGTTGGTGGATGAGTTTGGGAATGTGTGTAAAGATAGAAAGTTGAAAGTGAACATAGAAAAGAGTAAGGTGATGAGGGTATCAAATGATTTAGATAAAGAAAAATTGGATATCAAATTGGGGAGGAGGAGTATGGAAGAAGTGAATGTTTTTCAGATACTTGGGAGTTGACGTTTCGGCTGATGGATTTATGAAGGATGAGGTTAATCATAGAATTGATGAGGGAAAAAAGGTGAGTGGTGCATTGAGGTATATGTGGAGTCAAAAAACGTCATCTATGGAGGCAAAGAAGGGAATATATGAAAGTATAGTAGTACCAACACTCTTATATGGGTGTGAAGCTTGGGTGGTAAATGCAGCAGCGAGGAGACGGTTGGAGGCAGTGGAGATGTCCTGTCTAAGGGCAATGTGTGGTGTAAATATTATGCAGAAAATTCGGAGTGTGGAAATTAGGAAAATGTGTGGAGTTAATAAAAGTATTAGTCAGAGGGCAGAAGAGGGGTTGTTGAGGTGGTTTGGTCATTTAGAGAGAATGGATCAAAGTAGAATGACATGGAAAGCATATAAATCTATAGGGGAAGGAAGGCGGGGTAGGGGTCGTCCTCGAAAGGGTTGGAGAGAGGGGGTAAAGGAGGTTTTGTGGGCGAGGGGCTTGGATTTCCAGCAAGCATGCATGAGCGTGTTAGATAGGAGTGAATGGAGACGAATGGTACTTGGGACCTGACGATCTGTTGGAGTGTGAGCAGGGTAATATTTAGTGAAGGGATTCAGGGAAACCGGGTATTTTCATATAGTCGGACTTGAGCCTTGGAAATGGGAAGTACAATGCCTGCACTTTAAAGGAGGGGTTTGGGATATTGGCAGTTTGGAGGGATATGTTGTGTATCTTTATACTGTACGTATATGCTTCTAAACTGTTGTATTCTGAGCACCTCTGCAAAAACAGTGATAATGTCTGAGTGTGGTGAAAGTGTTGAATGATGATGAAAGTATTTTCTTTTTGGGGATTTTCTTTCTTTTTTGGGTCACCCTGCCTCGGTGGGAGACGGCCGACTTGTTGAAAAAAAAAAAATCAGTGAATCCTTGGTGTTTGCCCCACTGTTTGCTCTAGCTGGTGCTCAATATAACTGGCATTCCCACAAGGTACTAAGTGGTCCTAGATTTTTTTAATATGGTGCACACCAAGTGTTAAGACTCATTCTATGCTGACCAGGCATCTCAGGCCAGTTGTGCCAAATTTGGAGGCAGGAAAAATAAAATGTATATTTACGTTTGGGGCATTGGATGCTCACCTGATGGCAACATGGAGTTTTGCCACTTGCAGAAATGTTGCCAATATACCTTTTTATTTTTATTTTTAGTTTATATAATTTTTATGTTCTGATAATTACAATTTGTAGTAGTTTTTGTGAATTCATAGCCAGTCTTTATTCTGACACTAATATTGGGTACTGAAATAGTACTCAAAGAGTCATAAACACGCTGACAGGTGAACAGTTTCACCTGCCTTGGTCACATACTATTGTCTAGAAATATATACAAAGTATTTATAAGTCCCAGCAATGTTTTAGACATGTTAATGTATATATGAAACTCCTTGAAGCACCATGTAAGATGAGTGTCACGCCACTACTGACAGTGCAGCAGTGGAGTGACACTTGTTTTCACTGTTACACATAAATAATGTCTGTCTGTCAGTCTATCTGTCTAACTCTGTCTCTGTATATTTCTGTCTCTGCTTATCTGTCTTTGTCTGCCTGTGTCTGTCTTCCTGTCTCTGCTTGTCTCTCTCTGTCTCAGAGAGAGAGCTGCTCATGAACCAACAGGTATTACACCTGATGCAGAGTTGTCACGTCTGATTCCTGAACAAGTGAAAATGCATATTACTTGCCAGCGGTGCTTATCCTTGGTAATTTACATTATGTATAATAACTGTATTTATGTGTACCTGTGAGATAGAGACAGAGATAGATATAGACAGACAGATGGGGATAGAGACAGCCAAAGTCAATCAGCCACCCGACCTGCCGAACAGGTATTATACATGTTCCAGAATTGTTTCTCTTTACTTATGGCATAGGTTATAGGACATTCTGGCAGGATAACACTACCAGTGGAATCAAAATTGAAAGGATGTTGCACAAATGTTGTATATGGGTTATTATTGAGGTTTTTTATATTTCCTTGACCACTTGTGGCCACATCCATCTCAAGGCCACTATATCAGGTCACACACTTTCTCTAAAAGGGAGTGTTAATACAACATAACATCAGTGATTCCTTGGTGTTTGCCATGCTGTTTGCTCTAGCTGGTGCTCAGTTGAACTGGAGCTCCCACAAAGTACTAAGTGGTCCCAGATTTTTTTAATAGTGCGCACACCGAGTGTTAAGACCCATTCTATACTGACCAGGCATCTCAGGTCAATTGACAAATTTGGAGTAGGAAATAAACATGATTTCATTGGAGTACTAGCGTAACATGTAGATGTACATTTGGAAGTTAACAGTTTAAAAGCTGGATGAATGTCAGGACAAAATAGCAATTCCATTATGCTAGGCTATATTTACACTATAATGGATGCTGAAGAGCAATGCTTGTTTTTCAGAAGCAATATACTTTCTATGCTGTAATACCTGGTATGCTTCTAGAATCTGTTACCTCATACTGGTTAAGCTCGTAAAAGGATAGTGAGTAGCAGATGTTAAGGTTGACACCAAGAGTTTGGGGTACCTACATGGGATTAATGCCATTACACACGTTGAAACGTACTTAATGACACAACAAACTTAATGTGAAAAGTCACCACCTGTGAGTTAACATATACAAATTTTTATTTTTGCACCAAAACTAACCAACCTAACCTAACCTAATCTTGTTTAAAATTTACACTGTATAATTTAGCTTAATCCTTCTTAACCTGTCCTAGATCTGCCTAAATTTACTTAGCATTACAGTATTTAACAACAATGTTTTTTTTTTCCAGACGTATTGCAACAGTCAACTTGCATTTTGCTTGTATGGCAGAATGATCATTGCTTTGTAAGCCAAGACCACAACCACCCTACCTAAAAATCATAACATACATACACTCTTTATAAATTTATATATTGTACTATATAGTAGTAAACATGTAGTTGCCATTAGTTTCATTTTACTTTATTTTTGTGTATTTTACAAGGGAGATTTCTTGATGCTGGTGAGGGGCTTTTGATCCAAGGAATTGGACATATTCTTTCCTTGTATTGAACCTGATTGGTGCCCCCACTTCCTGGGTGAATATTAAAATGGTATAAAATACCAACAGGTTGGTAAGTAAGACACATGTGCAACAATTAGGTATCTTTATTCTGAATAAAGATACCTAACTGTTGCACATGTGGCTTACTTACCACTCCCTAGGTGTTGCATGACCCTTACGTATTTAGTACTTCCCTTAAATACAATAATAATAATATAATAACACTAATGTAATAATAAAATATAATAATTCAGTATAACAATTTAATAATAATAATACAGCACTTGATGTTTTAAACAAAAGAAATATTATTGCAGAATAACTTTTCATGATGCATTCTTCCTCTTTGACTATTCATGCAATATATAAATTTTCAGTCATTTTAATAAGGTTTGATATATATACACTACTTCAGCTTTTCTGGCAACTGCATTGTGTACAAAAGTTCCTCATTTTTTCATACATAATGTGAGAATTATGGGAGTAATTTGTTTATTTCAAGTCTGAGATTAAAATTTTAATACACTGACATAAAACATATTTTTAAGTAAAAAAAAAAAAGTGTCCACAAGGTGTCTTATCATACACAAAATTTTCCTTATTATGCAGAATATAAATGAATCTGCTACTTACAGCATATCAACTGTTAATTATGTGTCTTGTGTTAAACTGCATTATTTATGTTCATATTTTGTATCTTTCAAATTTACTGGTAATGTATAATTTCTTAAAAATTAAAACTTCTTTATAAGTTTAGTGCTAATGTTAAATCCTTTAAAATTAACAAGTTAGCAAGTGTTCTTGGTGTAATATTTGATTTTGTTCAAGTACCTTGAGAAAGATAACCAGATTCTTGCTAAATTTGAATATGGTTTCTGTACAGATAATGCACTAGTAGAATAGTTTTTCAGTTATGTAACTATATTTCCAGTAAGCAATGCGCAGTTAAATGCTTTATATGACTCACTTCAAGAAGTAATTTATGTTTACTTAGAATAAGCTTTTTTTTTTTTTCAGAACACTTCCAACAAACTGGAGCTTGCCCTTGATGAAGATTCTATTTTCTACAAGCTTGGTAGCTCAGGACTCATCTCTTTCTCAGATTTTATCTTTTTACTCACTGTCTTATCCAGTAAGTTGAAAGATTTTTTTTGTTTAATTGGAAGATCTTTTATGCTTACTCAGTGTGGTACTTCAAATACAATGATGGTGTTTTCATCCATAGGTGATTGCAGTTATATACCGACTGTAATATCCTATTTGTAATTTTCCACACAGCAAATACTACAACAAAAATGCCTCCCTGTATTATACTCAAACTCAAATTTTGATTTTGTCAGAAATATACATGACTATTACAGAGATATGGATAAGTCTGGTAATACAATAATTGCATATTCCAAGAGAAAACCCTTGTGTGAAAAAGCATTTCAGGCATACTAGAATTAATTTTTTACAAACTATTTAACACAGGTACAAATACAGATTTTCTAAACATATATGGTACCATAGTTTAGATTTCAGTGATAAATGATTCTACAACTTGATTTAGGAATAGGTGATATTTTTGACATTATAGAAAGCCTCTGGTTATGCAGATCATTTTGGGCATCCTTATATAAACTTTTAATTACATACTTTAACTGATAACTGCTACTGGAAGTTTTTGTAACAGTAATTTGTTGGAAGTTTTAATAATAATAATTTGCTATAACATTTGTGGAAGTTATTACTGATGCAGTTCAGGTACAAATGCAGATACTAATTTTTATTTTAGCATTACTCCACAGGTCATACAATAAACTGAATGCCTACATAGGTTGGCCATCACTAATCCGGCAATCAGTTATCCGGTTCTGTCAGTGATCCGGCGTTAATTTTGGCTAGTATAATTTCAAATTTCATCATTATACTGACTCAAATTTCATCATTATACTGACTCAGAAATTGTGCAGATGGTTGTAAATCCACAGCAGGAAGCCAGTGAAGGAGAAAGCAGTGATGAAAATGAGGAAGATGTAGCAGTCTCTATTGACAGATTAAGTGTATTCTAACCTGTCCACTCTGTAATCCAGCAAACTCACTAATCCGGCACACTACAGGTCCCAATGATGCCAGATTAGTGATGGCTGACCTGTAGAATGCATAGCATCATGGGCAAAATTTTAGCCTATACTATACTTAAAATTTACACATGTAATTCATAATAAAAATCACAATAAGAAGATATAATTGTTAAGTGTAGTATAGTGAGTGGTACTAGTTACTTAAATTAGTGCAAAATATGATGAGAGTGTACTTATCTAATATTATATGGGAGTTGAAGGAAAGCTGAAGCAAAAACAGGACAAAATCGTAAGAAAACAGCTTAAACAGGTTAACCTAGCAGTTTACGATAACATTTTCACAAAAGTTACATATTGTAATTGAATAATGTATTTTGTAATTATGAAATGAATTCTTACTTCAAGTTCAAGAGATTCTTTTAACAGTCTCTTTGAAGCTGTTAGAGAAAGTACCAACAATACCACCAGTCCGATAACATTCTTCTTTGCAAATATACAGGGTCTAAAGCCAGCAATAAACAACAAAATACCTTTCATCCGTGGACTGCTTGCAGAGGCAAAGGCAATGTTCGCGGCTTTCACTGAGACCCACATAAAGGATCACTTGGACAACGAAATATGGATCCCAGGTTACAACCTATACAGATGTGACAGAGTGAACAGGCAAAAGGGGGGGGTTGGCCTGTACATTGCAGAGTCACTTGTTTGCACAGAACTGCTTAATGCCTCAAATGACGTAGTGGAAGTTTTAGCAGTAAAGGTCGAGAACCAAAACCTAGTCATTGTGGTAGTCTACAAGCCTCCGGATGCAACATCCCAGCAATTCCAGGAACAGCTGTTAAAATTGACCACTGTCTGGAAAATCTTCCAGCTCCTGCACCCAACATCTTGCTCCTGGGGGATTTCACTTAAGGCACCTAAAATGGAGGAATATAGCAAATAATATTGTTGCAGTAATAACACCAGGAGGCAGCTCTGATGAAAAACTCACACTCGCACGAGCTTTTTAAATCTCTGCACAAAAATTCAATTTAAACCAGCAAATAATAGAGCTACTAGACTGGAGAATTACACTAGACCTCATCTTCACTAACAATGATGATCTGATAAGAAATGTCACCATATCAAAAACATATACTCAGATCACAACATAATTGAGGTTCAGACATGTATGCGTGGAGCCTCAGACCGACAAAATGAGACTAGTCACGAGGGAGCATTCACCAAATTCAACTTCAATAACAAAAACATAAAGTGGGACCAAGTAAACCAAGTCCTAACCGATATAAGCTGGGAAGATATACTAAGCAACACAGACCCAAACTTATGCCTAGAACAGATTAACTCGGTGGCACTCGATGTATGCACAAGGCTTATTCCTCTAAGAAAAAGGAGGAGTAGATGTAAAATAGAAAGAGACAGGCGCTCCCTTTACAGGCGACGGAAAAGAATAACAGAGCGGCTAAAAGAGGTCAATATATCAGAAATGCGCAGGGAGACACTGGTCAGAGAAATAGCAAGCATCGAACTTAAGCTAAAAGAATCCTTTAGGAGTCAGGAATCGCGGGAAGAACTAAAAGCCATAAATGAAATCAAAAAGAAACCCCAAAGTATTTCTTCTCCTATGCCAAATCAAAATCGAGAACAACGTCCAGTATTGGGCCCCTACTTAAACAAGATGGGTCCTACACAGATGACAGCAAGGAAATGAGTGAGCTACTCAAGTCCCAATATGACTCAGTTTTTAGCAAGCGCTAACCAGACTGAGAGTCGAAGATCAAAATGAATTTTTTATGAGAGAGCCACAAAATTTGATTAACACAAGCCTATCCGATGTTATCCTGACGCCAAATGACTTCGAACAGGCGATAAATGACATGCCCATGCACTCTGCCCCAGGGCCAGACTCATGGAACTCTGTGTTCATCAAGAACTGCAAGAAGCCCTATCACGAGCCTTTTCCATCCTATGGAGAGGGAGCATGGACACGGGGGTCGTCCCTCAGTTACTAAAAACAACAGACATAGCCCCACTCCACAAAGGGGCAGTAAAGCAACAGCAAAGAACTACAGACCAATAGCACTAACATCCCATATCATAAAAATCTTTGAAAGGGTCCTAAGAAGCAAGATCACCACCCATCTAGAAACCCATCAGTTACACAACCCAGGGCAACATGGGTTTAGAACAGGTCGCTCCTGTCTGTCTCAACTACTGGATCACTACGACAAGGTCCTAAATGCACTAGAAGACAAAAAGAATGCAGATGTAATATATACAGACTTTGCAAAAGCCTTCGACAAGTGTGACCATGGCGTAATAGCGCACAAAATGCGCGCTAAAGGAATAACAGGAAAAGTTGGTCGATGGATCTATAATTTCCTCACTAACAGAACACAGAGAGTAGTCGTCAACAGAGTAAAGTCCGAGGCAGCTACGGTGAAAAGCTCTGTTCCACAAGGCACAGTACTAGCTCCCATCTTGTTCCTCATCCTCATATCCGACATAGACAAGGATGTCAGCCACAGCACCGTGTCTTCCTTTGCAGATGACACCCGAATCTGCATGACAGTGTCTTCCATTGCAGACACTGCAAGGCTCCAGGCGGACATCAACCAAATCTTTCAGTGGGCTGCAGAAAACAATATGAAGTTCAACGATGAGAAATTTCAATTACTCAGATATGGTAAACATGAGGAAATTAAATCTTCATCAGAGTACAAAACAAATTCTGGCCACAAAATAGAGCGAAACACCAAGTCAAAGACCTGGGAGTGATTATGTCGGAGGATCTCACCTTCAAGGACCATAACATTGTATCAATCGCATCTGCTAGAAAAATGACAGGATGGATAATGAGAACCTTCAAAACTAGGGAGGCCAAGCCCATGATGACACTCTTCAGGTCACTTGTTCTATCTAGGCTGGAATATTGCTGCACTCTAACAGCACCTTTCAAGGCAGGTGAAATTGCCGACCTAGAAAATGTACAGAGAACTTTCACGGCGCGCATAACGGAGATAAAACACCTCAATTACTGGGAGCGCTTGAGGTTTCTAAACCTGTATTCCCTGGAACGCAGGAGGGAGAGATACATGATTATATACACCTGGAAATCCTAGAGGGACTAGTACCGAACTTGCACACGAAAATCACTCACTACGAAAGCAAAAGACTTGGCAGACGATGCACCATCCCCCCAATGAAAAGCAGGGGTGTCACTAGCACGTTAAGAGACCATACAATAAGTGTCAGGGGACCGAGACTGTTCAACTGCCTCCCAGCACACATAAGGGGGATTACCAACAGACCCCTGGCAGTCTTCAAGCTGGCACTGGACAAGCACCTAAAGTCAGTTCCTGATCAGCCGGGCTGTGGCTCGTACGTTGGTTTGCGTGCAGCCAGCAGCAACAGCCTGGTTGATCAGGCGCTGATCCACCAGGAGGCCTGGTCACAGACCGGGCCGCGGGGGCGTTGACCCCCGAAACTCTCTCCAGATACTCCATATACTGAGGTAGGTTTTTTTCAAATTTCTGGTTCCTTGATTTTCATAGTGTTAGCTCAGGCTAAGTGATTCAGGTAGAATGTCTTGGGTAAATCATTATCTTATTTTTTTGCCTCATTTTTGACCTTTATTATATCATTATTATTACTTTTTACTTTTTGTTCTTTTGTATCATAATTATTATCTTGCCCATCCAGTTTTTGATTATTATACACAAATAACTCGCACATAAAAGAGAGAAGCTTACGACGATGTTTCGGTCCGACTTGGACCATTGACAAAGTCTGACTTTGTCAATGGTCCAAGTCGGACCGAAACGTCGTCGTAAGCTTCTCTCTTTTATGTGCGGGTTATTTGTGTATCGTTCCAGTCACGGTATTGTGCCTTTTTTGTTATTGATTATTATATTTACACAGTTGAATAATCTTGTAAACTATAGCTTTTATATTGTTTGTTCTAGTTCATCTAATACCAAAATTTATATTATGTTACCTATCAGTACTTTTTTGCTTAATATGTAAGCTAAAGCAGCTCCACACTACTAATATTTTAACTCTTAAACTGTCCAAACATAGATCTATGTTTGCGTGCATAGCACTCCAACCTTGATTTTCTCCATGAGAAAGAACATAAAAAAAAAAAGGTAGATCTACATTCGGAGCGCTATGCGAGCAAACGTAGATCTACGTTTGGACAGTTTAAGGGTTAAGCATTGAGTAGGTTTAGTCCTAGTTTACATTGTCCTAAAATGCTGTTATCACTATATTATTGTATCTGGGGAGGAAATGCTAAGCCTGTTGGGATCATACATTCATATATCATGTGGGAAATACAGTGGACCCCCGCATGACGATCACCTCCGAATGCGACCAATTATGTAAGTGTATTTATGTAAGTGCGTTTGTACATGTATGTTTGGGGGTCTGAAATGGACTAATCTACTTCACAATATTCCTTATGGGAACAAATTCGGTCAGTACTGGCACCTGAACATACTTCTGGAGTGAAAAAATATCGTTAACCGGGGGTCCACTGTAGAAGACAATCATGTTTCTTCCAATGAAAGGAAGGATGGATCCAGGTCCAGGTCCACATCCACATCCACATCCACGTCCATGTCTACTGGTGAAGAACCTCTCACCAGCAACGTGGAACCTTCCTTGAGGAGCCAAAATGTTGTGCATACCATGGGCTTCTTAAAATTTTAACTTTTAAAGGCCTTTAAATAAATTATTTTTATTATTATTATTATTATTATTATTATTATTTAAACTATAGGTTTCTCTGGGAAAATAGATTCAGGGTACCAAACATCTCAGTTATGAACTTCTGGAAAACAATTAATTTGTTAGTTGGAAGACCTTTTACAGTTAACATAGAACAGAAAAAAAAATCATTCCTTGCTTTTTACAAAAAAAAAAAAAATGTGGTGGTGGAGAATTGATTAAACTGGTTGAAATCTCACACAAGCAAGTTGAAAATATTTCTTCATACTTTAGAAATGCAGTTCTATGTTTATTTACTATATTTTTTATGTAATTAATATTTTACTTGTTTCTTTATTTAAATATTTAGGCAGTGGTTGATCTGAAAATTGTTTTATACCTTTATTACAGCATCTCGTCGTCATTTTGAGATAGCTTTTCGTATGTTTGACTTGAATGGTGATGGAGACGTTGATTATGAGGAATTTGATAAAGTAGCAACACTGATTCGTAATCAGACAAGCATTGGAGCACGTCATCGAGATCATGCCAATACTGGAAATACATTTAAAGTTAGTCTGGAAATAGTTTTGAACAGTGTAATATGTAAACTTAATAATCTACTATTTTTATACAGCCTCTCCTCACTTAACTAAGACCTCGTCAGTAAATGAATTCATCGCTAAGTGAGGAGCATAGTATAATGGTAGTGGGTTTGTGTCAACCATATTTGATATTGTATTAATGTCACCTTTGCACCATTTATAACATTTCTGCTATATTTTTAAATGTTTATACAGTAGTGTACTGTATATTGTAATAAATAGTCTTGAGTCGTCGGCAAACGAGTAGGTCGCTAAGTGAGGAGAGGCTGTACTGAATTCTTTAAATTTTGAAAATATCTTGTGACATAAACTATGTAAGGAGGGCAGGAATCAAACCTGTGACCCTGCAGTTACAAATCTATGACAGTACTAGCAGTACCTTGGCTGCTTACATTATTACGTATTTTCATTTTATGATGAAATTCTCATTTTACCTTTTTCATCTTATTGTAAATTACAGTCAAGGATTATTTATTTTTGTGACATGTTGCAAGTATATGGAATAGGTAGTAAGTTACTAAATGCTGTAAAGAGTTTTTATGAGGATAGTGAAGCTCAGGTTAGGGTGTGTAGAAGAGAGGGAGATTATTTCCCAGTAAAAGTAGGTCTTAGACAGGGATGTGTAATGTCACCATGGTTGTTTAACCCTTTCAGGGTTCGTGCCGTAGTTCTACGGCTTTGAGTTGAGGGGCCAAACCGTAGATCTACGCCATGAGCTCAGCTCACTCTGATAAGCTGTGAGTGGTAAATTTGGGCCTTAATATGAGAGAATACATCTATGTGGTATGTGTGCACCACATAAAACAAATCTTGCAGCACACAGTACATAATGAGAGAAAAAGCTGAGACCGTAATTTTTTATTAAAACAGCGACTTTACAGTGTTTTTTCGTATGTTTTTTTTTATAGTTGTATTTGCAATTTCTTGATCTCATTTGATAGAATGGAAGATATATTACAGAAATAGAGATGATTTTGATTGGTTTTAGTACTGGAAATGGCTCGAAACTGAGCTCAAAGTAGCGGAAATGTTAAATTTTTGCTGATGTTCAAGAGTAGACAAATGACCTTACACGTCTAATAAATGCCAGCTGGTGGGTCTGATATATGTTCAAAAATGTGGTGATATTATTTATACAATTATTACAATATTGCATAACAATAAATCTTCTATTTTTTGGTTTGAATAAAAATTCATTATGTGAATAAAAAATCAAAATGGAATTTATTTGTAAAACCTGAAAATGTAACTAATGAACAGAGTAAATGTTAGTTTAGTACCAGGAATGCCTGCATTGTTTATTCTGGACCCTATTTTGAAATTGGAATATTTTGAACTTTGTGTTAAATTGGCCAAATTACCAATTTCCGATCACTTTATTTTGTAGTTGAAACAGTTGACTTGGCGATTTCTTGTGCTCAATCGATAGAATAGAAGTAATACTAGTGAAATAGCTAAGAATTTGGTCGGCTGGAATAATGTAATTGGCCTAAAATGGGAGTCAAAATTGGCAAAATTGCCGATGCATAAATATCGCTGACACATCAAAATTCGTGAGAGCATAATTTCGTCAGTTTTCCATCAAATTTCATACTTTTTGTTTTATTACCTTCAGAAAAAGATTCTCTACCATTTCATCAGAAAAAATAACAAAAATTTTTTTTGAAAATTCTTGGACCCTGGTGCACACTTTGAAATTTGGCCTCTGGACCCTGGAAGGGTTAATATATTTATAGATGGGGTTGTAAAAGAAGTAAATGCTAGGGTGTTGGGGAGAGGCGTGGGATTAAATTATGGGGAATCAAATACAAAATGGGAGTTGACACAGTTACTTTTTGCTGATAATACTGTGCTTATGGGTGATTCTAAAGAAAAGTTGCAAAAGTTAGTGGAGAAGTTTGGGAGGGTGTGTAAAGGTAGAAAGTTGAAAGTGAGCATAGATAAGTAAGGTGATGAAGGTATCAAATGATTTAGATAAAGAAAAATTGGATAACATATTGGAGAGAAGGAGTATGGAAGAAGTGAATGTTTTCAGATATTTGGGAGTTGATGTGTCAGCAGATGGGTTTATGAAAGATGAGGTTAACCATAGAACTGATGAGGGAAAAAAGGTGAGTGGTGCGTTGAGGTATATGTGGAGTCAAAAAACGTTATCAGTGGAGGCAAACAAGGAAATGTATGAAAGTATAGTGATACCAACACTGTTATATGGGTGTGAAGCTTGGATTTTAAATGCTGCAGTGAGGAGGTGGTTGGAAGCAGTAGAAATGTCCTGTCTAAGAGCAATGTGTGATGTAAATATTATGCAGAGAATTCAAAGTGTGAAAATTAGGAGGTGTGGAGGTAACAAAAATATTAGTCAGAGGGCTGAAGAGGGGTTATTGAGGTGGTTTGGTCATATAGAGAGAATGGATCAAGGTAGAATGACATGGAGAGCGTATAAATCTGTAGGGGAAGGAAGGTGGGGTAGGGGTCATCCTTGAAAAGGTTGGAGGGAGGGGGTAAAGGAGGTTTTGTGGGCGAGGGGCTTGGACTTCCAGCAAGCGTGCACGAGTGTGTTAGATAGGAGTGAATGGAGACAAATGGTTTTTGGGACATGAGCAGTTGGAGTGTGAGCAGGGTAATATTTAGTGAAGGGATTCAGGGAAACCAGTTATTTTTATATAGCTGGACTTGAGTTCTGGAAATGGGAAGTACAATGACTGCACTTTAAAGGACGGGTTTGGGATATTGGCAGTTTGGAGGGATGTATAATAGGACAGTATATATATAATTGGGGCCCTGATATTGTATTTTGTATGGAGTTTATTATATTTCAGGTCACTTTCTATATTGTATCTTTATATATGCTTCTAAGCTGTTGTATCTGGTCACCTCTGAAAAACAGTAATTATGTATGAGTGAGGTGAAAGTGTTGAATGATGAAAGTATTTTTGTTTTGGGGATTTTCTCTTTTTGGGTCACCCTGCCTAGGTGGGATATGGCCGGTTTGTTGAAAAAAAAAAAAATTAAGTTTCACAGGATAGTATTGTATTACAAAAACTCATTACTCAGCTGTGCTACTAGGGTTAACAAAGTAAGATAAAAAAAAAGTACATACAATTTATTTGCATTTTCACCTGATTATATTATTCAATTTCAGGGTGTTAATTCTGCTCTCAGCACCTACTTCTTTGGCCAGACATTAAGAGAAAAATTAACCATCGAGAAATTCTTGTTCTTTCAGCAGCAGTTACAACAAGAAATTCTCAGTCTAGAGGTGAGCAGGCTATGATTTATGTTGCATCTTTGAGCTGTCAGTCTTTTGTATGTCAGTATTTGCAAAAACATTATATTTGAGCATTATAATTTTCAGAATGAAAAGTAAAGTTTATTATTGGTCATGCTAGGCATTGGAAGACCATGAACACAGTAACATGACAGGATGCTTTGTTAAGCCAGCTTGACAAAGCTCCTGGAGAGTGAAATGTTGCCACAATATAATGTCACATTAGTTGCACTTGTGTCCTTTTACCTAACACGTCAGTAATTCTACCAACATCAATACAGTGTGACAGGACTTTGAAAGGTAGTCAGTAAAAGCATTGTACATTTTTGTTAATTAAAATTGTGTGAGATTGAAATGAGATTTTATATTCTTCCTTCTCAGTTTCGTCGCAAGGGTCCAAATGAAGATGGCTTGATATCAGAGGCAGACTTTGCTGAATTGTTGTTAGCATATGGTGGGTATCCACCAAATAAGAAGGCAAGAATGCTCAAAAGAGTCAAGAAAGCATTCAAGGTACAATAAAAGATTTTTATATTTCAAATTTATAGAGACAAGTGGCAAATGGTTTGACCACATTTTCCAAAGATATTTGTGTAAAATCTGAGATTGAACCTGGGTCCTTTTGATTGTGAGCCGAGCACTTCACTACTTAGCCACCTTTCTGAACAATAGATTTAAACTCTGAGGAGGGGACACCACAAGCAAAGCTTTGCTTTTAGAGTTAAAAATCTGCATTTTAAAGTAAGTACCAATAATTACATACACAGTGTGTTTGCAAATATTCATGAATATTTTTAATTACCAAAACTATTATCCAGAGGGCTGAGGAGGGGTTGTTGAGGTGGTTTGGACATGTAGAGAGGATGGAATGAAATAGAATGACTTGGAAAGCGTATAAATCTGTAGTGGAGAGAAGGCGGGGTAGGGGTCGACTTAGGAAAGGTTGGAGGGAGGTGGTAAAGGAGGTTTTGTCTGCAAGGGGCTTGGACTTCCAGCATGCGTGAGCGTGTTGATAGGAACGATTGGAAACAAATGGTTTTTAGGACTTGACATGCTGTTGGAGTGTAAGCAACACAACATTTATGAAGGAATTCAGGGAAATCGGCAGTCTAGACTTGATCCTGGAGATGGGAAGCACAGTGCTTGCACTCTGAAGGAGGGGTGTTAATGTTGCAGTTTTATAATTGTAGTGTAAGCACGCCTCTGGTAAGACAGTGATTTAATGAATGATGGTGAAAGTTTTTATTTTTCGGGCCACCCTGCCTTGGTGGGAAACAGTTGATGTGTTAATAAAAAAAAATTAATTTCAGGGTGAAACTTCTCAAGGCATTAGCCGAGATGACTACTTGAAGTTTTTTCATTTTCTGAATAACATCAATGATGTGGACACAGCCTTGACTTTCTACCACATTGCTGGTGCTTCTATTGATCCAGGTAGACATGTGATTGCTTGTTTATTTATCCATTTATATAAATATGCCATTATATATGCTGAATTCATTTTGAAGGAGTAACCATGTGTAAAATCTTCATTAACCTTCTCACTCTGTCACATAGATCTATGTCAGTGGGATCAGTGTTGTTCATGTACTGTAGATCTATGCATTATTAGTAGCATTGTCAAATTTCCTGTGAGTGGCAAATTTTCACCTAGATATGAGAATGGGTCATGCCCTACACACTGTATGATGGGAACAACTAACATCTGACCTTGTGTTTGTTAAAATATTTACTGTGAGCAGTTTTCTAGGGTGGCTTTCATGGTTTTATTGGCTATTTCATGGTGTCATTAGAAAGACTGGAAGACACATTAGTGAAAGGGAGAATATTTTGGTCGGATTCAGACCAGAAGTGGCCTGAAAATGGTTGATTTTTGGCAATTTCCTGGTGAAGGGTAGGGGAATTGCCAGATCTGTATTGTGGGTTTTACTAGGTCTGCTTCAGTTATTGGGATGGTCTGAATCTTGAACAAGCATTCTTGGTGTGGTTTTTATCTGAGAAATAGGGAAAAAACTTCAAATTTTTGTAACAATGGATTCAAAATGGAGGGCTAGTAGGAGGGGTCTCAGGACATGATTAACCTCTTCACTGTCGGAAGCCCCGAAATTAAATGCTGGTGGAGAATCTTTCTAAAGGTACTGACACAAAAAAATGAGAAATTTGATGAAAAATGTATGGAATTAACCCTTTCAGGGTCTGTGCTGTACTTGTACGGCTTGAGAGCGAAGGTCGGTGCTGTACTTGTATGTGTAAATTCTAGTGCCTTTAAATCGAGTGGAAGAAAGCTGGTAGGCCTACATATGAAAGAATGGGTCTGCGTGGTCAGTGTACGCAGTATAAAAAAAATCCTGCAGCACGCAGTGCATAATGAGAAAAAAAAAACTCCATGTTTTTGGTTTAAAACAGCAACTTTGCAGTGTATTTTCTTATGGTATTTATGGCTGTATTCTCGTTTTCTTGGTCTCATTTGATAAAATGGAACATATATAGCGGAAGTGCTTGATTTTTGCCAATGTTCAAGAGTAAACAAATCACGCCAAGCGTCCAATACACATCAACTGGAGAATCTAATATTCTTTCACAAGTGCGCTGATATTATTTATACCATTTTTACAATAATGCAGTAGTCTACATAACAGTAAATCTTCTATTTTTTGTGAGAATATAAATTCAAAAAGGAAAGCAAGAGTAATATAAGAGGGGCCTGAGAATGTGACTAATGGACAGAGAAAATGTTATTTTAGTGCCAGGAATGTCTGTCTTGTTTATTTTGGACCCTATTTTGAAATTGGCATCTTTTGAAATCTGTGTGAAATTGGCCAAATTGCCAATTTTTGACCACTTCATTGGGTAGTTGAAATCAGTAAATGGGCAGTTTCTTGTACTCATTCGATAGAACATATGGAGTTCTAGCAAAATAGCTATGATTTTAGTTGACTGGAACATTGGAATTGGCTGAAAATAGGTCTCAAAATGGGCAAAATCGCTGATATGTAAATATCGTTGAGACCACTAACTTCGCGAGAGCATAATTCTGTAAGTTTTCCATCAAATTTCATACTTTTAGTGTCATTACCATTGGGAAAAGATTCTCTATCATTTCATTAGATATATACAGTGGACCCCCGCTTAACGATCACCTCCCAATGCGACCAATTATGTAAGTGTATTTATGTAAGTGCGTTTGTATGTGTATGTTTGGGGGTCTGAAATGGACTAACCTACTTCACAATATTCCTTATGGGAACAAATTCGGTCAGTACTGGCACCTGAACATACTTCTGGAATGAAAAAATATCGTTAACCGGGGGTCCACTGTATATATATTTTTTTTTTTTTAAATTTTTTGATCCCTGAGAGCAAGTTCAGGATCAGGGGTCTCGACCCTGAAAGGGTTAAGCAGGCGCAAAGTTAGCAGTTTGGGCGCAACTTATGCACTGGTGATTTCACCCACTGAGTGTTTTAAGCCATTTTCATTGATCAGTTTGAACAAATTCTTAGCCATTTTGCTTGTTTGCTTTCCCTTCTGTTGATTGTGCACAAAAACTAGCCATTCAGGAAGCAGAACTCCCCAATAAAGTGCACAGTCAGTAATTTGGCAAATTCACACAAAATTAAAAAAACACTGTAGACATTCCAGGCACTAAAGTGACATTTCTTCTGTTCATTAATCACATCCTCAGGTCTTCCCTTTACTATTCTTGCCCTCCATTTTGAAATCATCATCATAAAAAAAAATTGATGAGTTACTCTTATTTCTCACATGATATAACCAGAAATGATTGGTTTACAGCATCCCAATAATTGACTCAGACCTAGTAAAAACCCATAAAACAGACTGGGGAGCAGGGTGTAGGGGGCATTACCTGTTATCAGGAAAATTGTCAAAAGTTTAGTATTTCTGCTATGTTGAGCCTAATTTCAAGCTACAATGCTTCCAGTCCTAAAACCAAAATCATCTCTATTTCAGTAGCATGTGTTCCATTCTGTGTCATAAGAGGCAGCTAACATGACATGAGCAAGGGGCTAGTAACCCCTTCTCCTGTATACATTACCAAAGTTAAAAAGAGAAACTTTTGTTTTTCTTTTTGGGCCACCCTGCTTCAGTGAGATACGACCAGTACATTGACAGAAAGAACAAAAGTGTTCCATTCTATCAAATGATATAAAGAAACGGGTAATAAAACCATGAAAATAATCTAGAAAACATCTCGAAGCTGCTATTTTAAACTAAACACAAAATCAAAGGTTTGCCTTTCCCATCATTTACTGTGGGGCAGGAATTTTTTTTTTATACTATGCACACTCACCACACAGCTGCAGTCTTTCATGTCTTGGCTAAAATTCACCATTCACAGTTTATCTGAGGGAGCTGAATTCTCTCAAGCAATCAGTGGATAGTACAGAAAGCATAAATTTTTAGATTTTGTTTTTAGGCCAATTGCAGCATTACAACTAATCCATTTCCCAGCTATTCCACTAGTATGCCTTCTGCCAAACTTAAAAGGGGTAGACCTGCTGTTTAGTGAATTAAATAGGTCTGTCCCTTTAAGTTTGGCAGAGGGCATACTAGTGGAATAGCTGGGAAATGGGATAGTTTGAGTACTGCAATTGGCCTAAAATAGGTCTCAAAGTGGGCAGAATTGCTGTTGCATTAAGTTTCTCTTACCATTTTAGAAGATAAAATTATTTTATAATTTTAAAAAATAGTGATACAAAAGGGGCTTTCAATATGGGAGGGTATCGACAGTACAAAGGTTAAACATTTAAATCATGGTTTGAATTATATTCATACCCTAGGTCAGATTTTGTAGCAATCTTGCTATGGTGAACTGATCACTTTAACCCTCTAACTGTCCTAAATAAGATCTACGGTTACGCGTGTAGCGCTCCGCCCTTGATTTTCTCCATAAGAAAGAATAACAAAAAATGTAGATCTAAGTTCAGAGCACTACACGAGCAAACGTAGATCTATGTTTGGACAATTTAAAGGTTAAAAGGGGATGACATGGACCCATAAAAAATATGGAGTGAATGATGAAAGTATCTTCTTTTTCGGGTCACCCTGCCTTAGTAGGAAACAGCTGATTTGTTAATAAAAAAAATTAACATTATCTGTATTTGAACTCGTAGCTGAAGTACCAACTTCTTGTCACTGTATTTGTAGGATGATAGAGAGGAATAGCAAGTGTGAGTGTACTGTAGTGTTTTTGGTGTCCACTTTAGGTCCAAGTCACCTTCACGAGACCCATGAAGCTGTCTTAGCACCTGAGTCATTTAATCACTATTTAAATTATGCTATTATTGCATTCCTATGTCTTCTATACTGTTGTATTTACTAGGATGTAATTTTTCAATAGTTGTGTAATTGCAGAACAAATGAGCATGTGTAAATGCAAATTGTGAAGACAAATATATTATGGACCTTTTGGTAATTCCCCAGTCTTAGTTGATATAGGTAAATATTATTATGGGTCATATTAATAACTTATCAAAAGAGAGCAACACATGCTTTCATTTTACTTTCTCTAATATAGAATAGCAACTATTATCATGCACATGCATGACAGTTCCATCATACTTTTTAGTAATAATCATTTCTCACCACCATATGTGTTTTTCAGCAGCAAATGGTGATTACAGTATATAATTACAATAATATAAGGTGTAATCAACAGAGAAAAATTACATATGAAAAAGTTCTTTTCAGTACTGTAGTAGTTAATGTAAATAATTTTTCAGCAACCCTGAAGCATGTGGCCAAGACTGTTGCACATGTTGAGCTTTCGGACCATGTTGTCAACGTTGTCTTCACACTCTTTGATGATAACAGTAAGTATACTTAATGATGATATAAAAAATTGAAGGAAAAGTGTATTTATATGGAAATATATTTCTGTATTACATTCACTCTACACATATAGGATTTAAAGACATTTGTAGTGTCACCTTTTAAGCAGTTTGTTTCAATTTTTTTTTTTTTCTTTTTAACAAGTCGGCTGTCTCCCACCGAGACAGGGTGACCCAAAAAGAAAGAAAATCCCCAAAAAGAAAATACTTTCACCTCACTCACACATAATCACTCTTTTTGCACAGGTGCTCAGAATACAACAGTTTAGAAGTATATATGTATAAAGATACACAACATATCCCCCCAAACTGCCAATATCCCAAAACCCCTCCTTTAAAGTGCAGGCATTGTACTTCCCATTTCCAGGACTCAAGTCCGACTATATGAAAATAACCGGTTTCCCTGAATCCCTTCACTAAATATTACCCTGCTCACACTCCAACAGATCGTCAGGTCCCAAGTACCATTCGTCTCCATTCACTCCTATCTAACACGCTCACGCACGCTTGCTGGAAGTCCAAGCCCCTTGCCCACAAAACCTCCTTTACCCCCTCTCTCCAACCCTTTCGAGGACGACCCCTACCCCGCCTTCCTTCCCCTATAGATTTATATGCTTTCCATGTCATTCTACTTTGATCCATTCTCTCTAAATGACCAAACCACCTCAACAACCCCTCTTCTGCCCTCTGACTAATACTTTTATTAACTCCACACCTTCTCCTAATTTCCACACTCCGAATTTTCTGCATAATATTTACACCACACATTGCCCTTAAACAGGACATCTCCACTGCCTCCAACCGTCTCCTCGCTGCTGCATTTACCACCCAAGCTTCACACCCATATAAGAGTGTTGGTACTACTATACTTTCATACATTCCCTTCTTTGCCTCCATAGATAACGTTTTTTGACTCCACATATACCTCAATGCACCACTCACCTTTTTTCCCTCATCAATTCTATGATTAACCTCATCCTTCATAAATCCATCCGCCGACACGTCAACTCCCAAGTATCTAAAAACATTCACTTCTTCCATACTCCTCCTCCCCAATTTGATATCCAATTTTTCTTTATCTAAATCATTTGACACCCTCATCACCTTACTCTTTTCTATGTTCACTTTCAACTTTCTACCTTTACACACATTCCCAAACTCATCCACTAACCTTTGCAATTTTTCTTTAGAATCTCCCATAAGCACAGTATCATCAGCAAAAAGTAACTGTGTCAATTCCCATTTTGAATTTGATTACCCAAAATTTAATCCCACCCCTCTCCCGAACACCCTAGCATTTACTTCCTTTACAACCCCATCTATAAATATATTAAACAACCATGGTGACATTACACATCCCTGTCTAAGACCTACTTTTACCGGGAAGTAGTCTCCCTCTCTTCTACACACCTTAACCTGAGCCTCACTATCCTCATAAAAACTCTTTACAGCATTTAATAACTTACCACATATTCCATATACTTGCAACATCTGCCACATTGCTCCTCTATCCACTCTATCATATGCCTTTTCTAAATCCATAAATGTAATAAAAACTTCCCTATCTTTATCTAAATACTGTTCACATATATGCTTCAATGTAAACACCTGATCTACAAATCCCCTACCCACTCTGAAACCTCCTTGCTCATCCGCAATCCTACATTCTGTCTTACCTCTAATTCTTTCAATTATAACCCTACCGTACACTTTTCCTGGTATACTCAGTAAGCTTATTCCTCTATAATTTTTACAGTCTCTTTTGTCCCCTTTCCCTTTATATAAAGGGACTATACATGCTCTCCGCCAATCCCTAGGTACCTTCCCCTCTTTCATACATTTATTAAACAAAAGTACCAACCACTCCAACACTATATCCCCCCCTGCTTTTAACATTTCTGTCATGATCCCATCAGTTCCAGCTGCTTTACCCCCTTTCATTTTACGTAATGCCTCACGTACCTCCCCCACACTTACATTCTGCTCTTCTTCACTCCTAAAAGATGGTATACCTCCCTGACCAGTGCATGAAATTACTGCCTCTGTTTCTTCCTTAACATTTAAAAGTTCCTCAAAATATTCTCGCCATCTACCCAATACCTCCATCTCCCCATCTACTAACTCCCCTACTCTGTTTTTAACTGACAAATCCATATTTTCCCTAGGCTTTCTTAACTTGTTTAACTCACTCCAAAATTTTTTCTTATTTTCATTAAAATTTCTTGACAGTGCCTCTCCCACTCTATCATCTGCTCTCCTTTTGCACTCTCTCACCACTCTCTTTACCTTTCTTTTACTCTCCATATACTCTGCTCTTCTTATAACACTTCTGCTTTGTAAAAACCTCTCATAAGTTACCTTTTCTCTTTTATCACACCCTTTACTTCATCATTCCACCAATCACTCCTCTTTCCTCCTGCCCCCATCCTCCTATAACCACAAACTTCTGCCCCACATTCTAATACTGCATTTTTAAAACTATTCCAACCCTCTTCAACCCCCCCACTACTCATCTTTGCACTAGCCCACCTTTCTGCCAATATTCGCTTATATCTCACCCGAACTTCCTCCTCCCTTAGTTTATACACTTTCACCTCCCTCTTACTTGTTGTTGCCACCTTCCTCTTTTCCCATCTACCTCTTACTCTAACTGTAGCTACAACTAAATAATGATCCGATATATCAGTTGCCCCTCTATAAACATGTACATCCTGGAGCCTACCCATCAACCTTTTATCCACCAATACATAATCTAAGAAACTACTTTCATTACGTGCTACATCATACCTTGTATATTATTTATCCTCTTTTTCATAAAATATGTATTACTTATTACCAAATTTCTTTCTACACATAGCTCAATTAAAGGCTCCCCATTTACATTTACCCCTGGCACCCCAAATTTACCTACTACTCCCTCCATAACATTTTTACCCACTTTAGCATTGAAATCCCCAACCACCATTACTCTCACACTTGATTCAAAACTCCCCACGCATTCACTCAACATTTCCCAAAATCTCTCTCTCTCCTCTACACTTCTCTCTTCTCCAGGTGCATACACGCTTATTATAACCCACTTTTCACATCCAATCTTTATTTACTCCACATAATCCTTGAATTAATACATTTATAGTCCCTCTTTTCCTGCCATAGCTTATCCTTCAACATTATTGCTACTCCTTCTTTAGCTCTAACTCTATTTGAAACCCCTGACCTAATCCCATTTATTCCTCTCCACTGAAACTCTCCCACCCCCTTCAGCTTTGTTTCACTTAAAGCCAGGACATCCAGCTTCTTCTCATTCATAACATCTACAATCATCTCTTTCTTATCATCTGCACAACATCCATGCACATTCAGACTTCCCACTTTGACAATTTTCTTCTTCTTATTCTTTTTAGTAATCTTTACAGGAAAAGGGGTTACTAGCCCATTGTTCCCGGCATTTTAGTTGACTTTTACAACACGCATGGCTTACGGAGGAAAGATTCTTATTCCACTTCCCCATGGATATAAAAGGAAAATTAATAAGACCAAGAACTATTAAGATAAAATCAAAGAAAACTCAGATGAGTGTGTATAAATAAATGTGTACATGTATGTGTAGTGTGACCTAAGTGTAAGTAGAAGTAGCAAGACGTGCCTGTAATCTTGCATATTTATGAGACAGACAAAAGACATCAGCAATCCTACCATCATGTAAAACAATCACATGCTTTCGTTTTACACTCACTTGGCAGGACGGTAGTACCTCCCTGGGTGGTTGCTGTCTACCAACCTACTACCTATATTTTAGAAATATATATCAAAAATTAATTTTGAATAAAAATTTCATGTAATTACATCTTTCTTTCTTTCAACGTACCAGCCGTATCCCACTGAGGTGGGGTGGCCCAAAAGAAAAAACTGAAGTTTCTCCTTTTAAATTTAGTAATATATACAGGAGAAGAGGTTACTAGCCCCTTGCTCCCGGCATTTTAGTCGCCTCTTACAACACGCATGGCTTACGGAGGAAGAATTCTGTTCCACTTCCCCATGGAGATAAGAGGAAATAAACAAGAATAAGAACTAGAAAGAAAATAGAAGAAAACCCAGAGGGGTGTGTATATATGTGCTTGTACATGTATGTGTAGTGTGACCTAAGTGTAAGTAGAAGTAGCAAGACGTACCTGAAATCTTGCATGTTCATGAGACAGAAAAAAGGACACCAGCAATCCTACCATCATGTAAAACAATTACAGGCTTTCGTTTTACACTCACTTGGCAGGACGGTAGTACCTCCCTGGGCGGTTGCTGTCTACCAACCTACTACCTAACATGTAATTACATGTAGTTGCAAAATTTGCCACCAGGGCTACATGGCTTCAAAGTACTGTTATATAGCACATTGTATAGGTATTAATTCTGTACATGTATGTACCAAATCTGAAACACTTAAACAGTTATTATTAACCCTTTATGGGTGGGTGCTGTAGGGCTGGGGCTTTAAAGTGTGGGTCGGTGCCATAGTTTTGTGTGATAAGCTCAGCTCACTCAGATAAGCTGTATGTGGTAAATTTTGGCCTAGATATGAGAGAATGGGTCTATGTGGTGAGTGTGCACCATATAAAAAAAAAGTCCTGTCTCATGCAGTGCATGATGGGAAAAAACTGCAACCGTGTTTTTGGTTTAAAACCGATTTTACGGTGTATTTTTGTATGTTTTTTTGCTTATATTCTGGTTTTTTATATCTCATTTGATAGAATAGAAAATATATTACAGAAATAGAGATGATTTTGATTGGTTTCAGGACTGAAAGTAACTTGAAATTGAGCTCAAATTAGCAGAAATGTTTGATTTTTGCTGATATTCCAGAGTACATAAATTACATCACTCATCCAACATGCATCCAACTAGTCAGTTTAATATGCAATTAGGAATGCATTGACATTATTGATACAATTATTACAATGCAGTAGTCTACATAAATTCAAAATGGAAAGCAAGTGTAATATAAGAAGGGCCTGGAGATGTAACTAATGAACAGAGAAAATGTTATTTTAGTGCCAGAAATGTCTGCATTGTTTATTCTGGACCCTATTTTGAAATTGGCATTTCTTGAATTTTGTATGAAATTGGCCAAATTACAATTTCTGACCACGTATTGGATTAGTTTAAAAAGTTGAATGGTCAATTTCTTGTACTCAGTCAATAGAATGGAAGATATATTAGTGAAATAGCTAAGAATTTGGTCAACTGGAACAATGGAATTGGCCTAAAATCAAACTCAGAGCGGATGAAATCGTCAATATCTAAATACAGTGGACCCTTGGGTAACGATAGCGATAAAATCGGATACCGATGTGTTTTTGCATAAAAATATTGGATAGGCCAACGATGAAAAATTCAGTTTAGGACATTCGTCCCGAACGTGTAAGCGTGGCCTCAGCCCATGTACAAAATGTGTGCCATTGTTTACAAGACAGGGAGGATGATTCCACACATACATGCGATATATTTTGTATTATTCCATTGTTTTTAGTGCTTGTAACTGCTAAATAAGCCACCATGGGCCCAAAGAAAGTTTCTAGTGCCAGCCCTGTGATAAAGAAGGAAATAAACACAAAATTCAAGAAAAAACTTAATAGCAAAGTACCAAAGTGGAGGAGGAAGAGAGAGGGGTGAATGTGCCTTCTGCAGTGATTCTACAACATGTACGATACTAAAGAAGCAGGTATCAATAAAGGCTACAGTGCCAGTCAGCGATAAAGTGTAGAATTAACAGTGTAGCAAGTAAGTTAAGCGAGTAAGCGATAGAAAAGACACGAAAGTAACTCTCCAATGTTATTGTATGTGTATCGCGCTGCTGAACACAAGCTGGCCTGCTATGTACCTTCCACCACTCTAAATCACTGCCAGCATCTCCTACATCAAACTAATTAAACTAACATCTCCTTCAAGGTAAGTGTAAATATAAAAGGACCCCAGTGGAAATGCATAAGTTACTCTGACTTTTTTGGGTTATTCTAAGTACTTTACACATATGCAGCTATGTATAATAATCTATGTATATAACTGTATTTGTGTATACCTGAATAAACTTACTTATTTATAAATTAAAATGTAAATGTTTCTTATTTATAAATTACATTCATATATTGTTTGTGGATAGTGGTGGTGGCAGTAGCCTCCACCGCCAGTGGCCATTATAAACCCAACAACAACACTTCCATCACTTATCCTCACATACATTATGACATATTTTATTCATTCTAGAGTATATATCATGTTTCTATGTTATTAATATTTTTTATTATGTCATATTAGATGAATTGTGATAGATAAATAAGCTGTAGAGATGATATTAGCGTCGTATTGAAGAATAATAAACTCGCCTTCCTCTTGCCTGCTACACTCCCTGCATGTCTGCTACACTCCCAGCATGCCTGCTACACTCCCAGCATGCCTGCTACACTCCCAGCATGCCTGCTACACTCCCAGCATGCCTGCTACACTCCCAGCATGCCTGCTACACTCCCAGCATGCCTGCTACACTCCCAGCATGCCTGCTACACTCCCAGCATGCCTGCTACACTCCCAGCATGCCTGCTACACTCCCTGCATGCCTGCTACACTCCCTGCATGCCTGCTACACTCCCAGCATGCCTGCTACACTCCCAGCATGCCTGCTACACTCCCAGCATGCTTGCTACTCTCCCAACATACCTGCTACACTCCCTGCATGCCTACTACACTCCCTGCATATTCGCTGCACTCAAACTAACTACATAATTAAACTAACATCTCCTCCAAGGTAAGTGCAATTATTTCTTATTTATAAATTAAAATGTAAGTAGTATTTATTTATAAATTACGTTCATATATTGTTTGTGGATAGTGGTGGTGGCAGAATCCTCCACCACCAGTGGCCATTATAAACCGAACAACAACACTTCCATCACTTATCCTCACATACATTATGACATATTTTATTCATTCTAGAGTATATATCATGTTTCTGTGTTATTAATATTGTTTATTATGTCATATTAGATGAATTATGATAGATAAATAAGGCGTAGAGTTGATAATAGCGTCATATTGAAGTACTATTCTGTCAAGCCTCCTGACAGCAGGAACGGATTAATTGGATTTCCATTATTTCTTATGGGGAAAATTAATTTGGCTAACGATAAAATCGGTTATGGACAAGCTCTCTGGAACGGATTAAAATAGTTACCCGACGGTCCACTGTATTGCTGAAAGCAAAATTCATGAGAGCATAATTTTGTCAGTTTTCCATCAAATTTTGTATTTTTTTTTTTTATTACTTTCAGAAAAAAAAAAATCTACCATTTCAAAAGAAAAAAAATAATTGTGAGTGTGTGATGTATCTGTATATATATCTTTTCTTCTTTCAACAAACTGGCCATATCCCACCAAGGCAGGGTGGCCCAAAAAGAACAAAAGTTTCTTTTTAACTTGAGTAATGTATACAGGAGAACGGATTACTAGCCCCTTGCTCCCGGCATTTTAGTTGCCTCTTACGACACACATGACTTATGGAGGAAGAATTTTGTTCCACTTCCTCATGGAATACATATATATATGTATATATATTTTTTTTGTTTAACAAGTTGGCCATCTCTCACTGACCCAAAAAGAAAGAAAATCCCCCCCCCCCCCAAAAAAAAAAAAAAAACTTTCATCATTCAACATTTTCACCTCACTCATACATAATCACTGTTTTTGCAGAGGTGCTCAGAACACAACAGTTTAGAAGCATATACTTATAAAGATACACAACATATCCTTCCAAACTGCCAATATCATCTGCCAGTGCTGGATGTATCAGACCCTGAGAGCAAATTTGAGAGCAGGGGTTGTGACCCTGAAAGTTTTAAATCATGGGTCTGGATAGTGAAAGGATTAAAATACTACCCTATCAATTAAAAGATTTGCATTTTTAGGAGGGGTTTGGGATTTTGGCAGTTTGGAGGGATATGTTGTGTATATACGTATATACACCTACCATCCGACTTATGACCATGTTTTTTATGCCAAATTTCTGGGAAATAAACGACTATTTGTGTTGTACACAGTGTTTATCCTAAACCTTACAGTATAAAATACAGTACTAACAGCATAAAAAGTAAAGTAAAACATGAAACACCAAAATAAAACTTTATTTTAAAGTCATTACAAAAATGTTTTGTTGATATTCAGTAGTAAAGTTTGACTTACGACCGGTTTCTCGGAACCAAACTCGGTCGTAAGTCGGATGGTAGGTACTTCTAAACTGTTGTGTTCTGGGTACCTCTGCAAAAACAGTGATTATGTATATGTGTGAGGTTAAAGTGTTGAATGATGATGAAAGTATTTTCTTTATGGGGATTTTCTTTCTTTTTGGGTCACCCTGCCTTGGTGGGAGATGGCCAACTTGTTAAGAATAAAATACAACTTTTTTTTTATCAGATTTTTCTGCATTTGTTTTCTAATACATTTTATTTTTATATCAATCCACACAGATGATGGTCAGCTCAGCAACCGGGAGTTTGTTGCTGTGATGAAAAACAGATTGCAACGTGGCTTAGAAAAGCCTAAAGACACAGGATTTGTGAAACTTATCGTATCCATGTTTAAATGTGCTGGAGAGACAAAACCTGTACTTTTGGATATATGAGGAAAGGTTCGTGTGCGAGATGCAGATTTGAAAGAGGCAGAGAAGAGACACTGTGAAGGGTGTAATTGCAGAGGCAAAGAAAAAAATGGTAATAAAGGAACAAATTCAGAAGACAAGAAAGAATAATCTTACTGTTATATGTAAGAAAGTGCAATATTAATTGTACAGTATTCACAATAAATGCTAAACTTGTACAAGTATTTCAACAAGCTGTATATTTATGTCAACGCTATATGACTCTTGTGGGTTTAGCGTTTAGTTTTGATAATTATAATACAGCCTCTCCTCACTTAACGTCGCTAAGTGAAATGGTAGCGAGTTTGTGTTAGTCATCTTTGATATTGTTTTAATGTCACCTTTGCACCATTTATAACATTTCTGGTATATTCTTAAACGTTTATATGGTAGTGTACTATATATCGTAATAAACAGAATAGAGGAAATCGGTTCTAATATACATTATTCAGGTATGCATACTGGTCAGAGAGCCTGTCGTAAGTCCGAAGTGTCGGTAAACAAGTATGTCACTAAGTGAAGAGAGGCTGTAATGTATATTTATGTGCTAGTGAGGTGGTAATGTTATTCATTATATAGTCAGAACTTTAAAGTGGTGTGTGAAAAACAGTTCCTATAAACAGTGTGCAAGTCACTGTATAAGAAGAAAATGTGTATGTTGCTCTCTTGAAAGGATATGGATAAATAATTGTTTCAGATTTACCCAAAGACTATACATTCTTCTTCAGAAATACAAATGGTGAATGGAGTACATTTTGTCATGGGAGAAAGTTTAGCAGAAATGGTAATTAAGTTTATTTGTATTGCATCATAGCTTCTTATCTCATTGATATGGAAAAATCTAAGATAGACATCATATACTGTACTTGAAAAAACATGAAATTTAGCATAGTATTTATTTGACTGTGGATGGTGGGTGAGAATGACCAATTTTTTTTTTTTTTTTTATAGCATTTGTGTATTTTTCTTATACTATTAGTTTTTGCATCTTTACAGTATTATTATATTAAAAACAAGTTTCAAATTTTTTGTAAAATTTATTTAGGTATTTTCACAAGACATTGGTAATTGTAATTTACATGGTATCATTAGCAACTGATTTTTATCGTCATATTATCAGCATTAGCTATTCATTCTTTTGGAAAAACAAATTGCCTATGAAAACATTTCATTTTAAAAATAAGACTACCCTTTCAGTAATCTTTTACATCATCATCTTTCAACAAACCGGCCGTATCCCACTGAGGTAGGGTGGCCCAAAAAGAAAAACAGAAGTTTTTCTTTTTAAATTTAGTAATTTATACAGGAGAAGGGGTTACTAGCCCCTTGCTCCCGGCATTTTAGTCGCCTCTTACAACATGCATGGCTTACGGAGGAAGAATTCTGTTCCACTTCCTCATGGAGAATCTTTTACATATTATTCCATAAGTATTTACAAAAAAAGCTTTTAATATTTTGTGTACTGGTTTATCTTTTCTCGTTACTTTTACCTTACCTTTTCTTGCTTTCTGTACCTCCTGCGTGTTTGATACAGTAGTTCTTGTTATAATGACATGTTTTTATTTCATAATGCAGTTAGTATTTTACTTATTGATGAAACAAATATTAATAGCTGTAGCATGTATTCCAAAAAAAAATACTGCATGCTCATTGTCAATTAAGGTTGTTAAGATTATATTTAGCTGAAGCAATCAGAAATAGAAAATAAATTTTGTACAAACATGATAAGGTTAATGGTACCCTAAACAGTAATTTTTAAATATTTATAGAGTGCAGTATAGGTTGACAGTAGTAATTTTCATAAGTTTTAGCGATACATATTATTATGCAACTTTAATAAGTGGTACATCACGCAACAACAAACTTAACTTTTATAATATTGGATTTATGAAATAAGATGTCAACTAAAATATTCATTAAAATAAAATTTAATATACTTTTCATAGTTTTTCTTGTTCTTTATTTCACAATGTCTGTCAGATGGAACCAAGTCAGTGTGGATTTTTGGGAGGGGAAAGGAATTAGCAACTTGGCAAATAATACTCAGAATCATTTGATTTTGACTAAGATTTGATTTAACATAACATAAGAAAGAAGGAACACTGCAATAGACCTACTGGCCCATGCAAGGCAGGTCACATCCACTGAAGGAAGGAGCATGCCATCAAACCTAGTAGCACAAGCTACTCAGGTTCAACTCACACCCACTCATGTATTTATCTAACCTATTTTACTTTCCTCTTAAAAGGGGAGTGTTAATGCGACATTACATCAGTGAATCCCTGGTGTTTGCCAAGCTATTTGCTTTAGCTGGCGCTCAATTGAACTGGTGCTCCCACAAGGTACTAAGCGGTCCCAGATTTTTTTAATACTGCACACACCGAGTGTTGAGGCCCATTCTCTCATGTCTAGGCGACTCGGGCCTATCACCCCAATTTTGAAAGAATGAAAAACAAATCTCTGATCTACGTTCAGAGCACTATGCGAGCAAACGCACATCTACATTTGGACAGTTTAAGGGTTAAGAGTGTACCATTAACCCTTTCAGGGTTGACAGGCACTCCCAGACTTATTCTCAGGGTCGAAAAAAAAAAAAAAAAAAAAAAAAAAATTCTTATGAAAAGATTGTTTTTTTTTTCTAAACTTCATAGGCTAAAAAAATTTTTTTGGCCATCAATACTTACCGAGATATGGAGGCGTGAAGTTGACAGAAACTGAACTGCATACGGCAACGTTGCTGACTGCCGGTCACCTGGTAATCATTTATTTTGTTTCTACTATTTTCTATTATTTTTTAATTTTTCTTTTCAAGTAACTTTTATGGCCTGTGAGACCAATATGAGGACTATTTTGTAAATATTTACTCTTTCTATACTGCACAAACACTGTTGTCATTATACTGTTTACAAAACATGTTTACACAAACGAACATTATAAAATGTTTATTACTATTTTTCTATATTTTATATACTCATATACAGTCAAAGGACATATTTCTAGAAGTTCTGCAGCCTGTGGAAGTCTTTGAAACATGGTGTCATGCACAGTGATGTTTTACACTCCTCATATGTAAAATGAGTGTCTCTGCATTGTTGTGGGCATTGTTTTGTATGTGCACAGGCAAAACACCTCTTCTGAGCCTTTTTCTTGGAAGAAGTAGCAGGCAGTTTTGTTTGGAAGTGATCACCAGGCCTCAGACGAGAAGGTAGTTGTTGATAATTTGGTGGGCGGTTTTCTACTGCAGGTGTTGTTCATTGGTACTTGAATATATTTGTTTGATGACAAACAAAATTCGCCATATTTCACTAATGTTGAAGTACAGTGGACCCCCGCATAACGATTACCTCCGAATGCGACCAATTATGTAAGTGTATTTATGTAAGTGCGTTTGTACGTGTATGTTTGGGGGTCTGAAATGGACTAATCTACTTCACAATATTTCTTATGGGAACAAATTCGGTCAGTACTGGCACCTGAACATACTTCTGGAGTGAAAAAATATCGTTAACTGGGGGTCCACTGTATATTATAAACACAGGTAGATTAAAGGCCTGTAATACCTGGTCATAAAACTAAGTCAGCAATACATGCAATCAGCAGGGAAGAGCAAGGGGAAGGCAAACACAACAAGGGTAGATTTCTTTACCCATGTATTCCTTCACCACTTATTACAATATGTACACTGTTAATATATTAAGATATCAGAGAATGTAACAGTGCAACCAAGAGCCACTCAAGGCATGAGTGGACTCGACCAATGTTTGTGGAAGTCTGCCACCCAGCCAAGTGGGTAGGTGTAACGTCACCTTGGCTGGAGTAGCCGTCTTTCACATGACTGACGGTTTGAACTGGACAATAAGAACAGCAATGGGGCCCCAGAATGTCTACATTCTGAAATGTCTGCTCTCTAGTCAAGGAGGAGTGCCAAATGGTTGTGTGACAAACATCAAATAAAATGTACATAGTGCATGACACAAAGTGGTAAACTCCTTGAGGGTCAAACAATGCCTGGGAAGTGGTACATAATCAGATTTGATCTAAGGGAAAAGTAGCTCCAATTTCTCAAATCAGGCATCCTTCACTGGCATCTAGGTACTCCTGTCCCTGTATAGGGCAACAGACTACTAAACTGTATTATTATTATTATAATCAAAAAGAAGCGCTAAGCCATAAGGGCTATACAGCGCTGCAGGGCAGGAAGGAAGCGAGGGCATCAGGTGGCAAAAGGGAGGTGGATGAGTAATAGGTTACGGATAACAACAGAGCGGTGGATGGTGAAAGGGTAAAGGGCAGCAAGAGACCGAGCTAGAAAGGGCTGAGGGGAGTGCATAAGGTATCATCATCAGAGTTTGTGGAGTAAATCAGTCGTTGTCAAGAAGTCAATGAGAGAGTCAGGATTAAAGGAGGGTCCATCAGCAAGAAGGGAAGGTAAAGAGAGAGTAGTAGAATGAA